ACCCCCTAAGACTGTGATTTCAAAGCATAATAAGTAGCTTCCCAACAGTAACATTAGAAATAAAAAGTTATTCTCTCCCCCAAGTAATAGAGACAAATCCTTTCTCTGTGTAATTTTTCTGTCGCCTGCTCGAAAATTCTGTACCCTGCTTTAATAGGCTTCAACTTAGATCACAAGTTTTGTTGGCATCAATTGTGTGAGAATCATTTCAGTAAAGTGTCACATAAAGTAGACTAGGAATCATTGAGAGAAGGAAGCAGTATTAAAACCCAGTGACATAAAAGTAGTTGATTGCTTAGGTCTTACTTACTAGCTGGTTATTTAGGCAAAATATAGGTATTTCCTGATCAAAAGAGAGGAAAGTAACAGACTATAAGCATCCTAGGATGCTAGTCTCTCTTGCACCATTTGTCGGTACTCAGCACTCCTTGATAACCTTATGGGGCAGTTCTACGCTGTCCTATTGGGTCGCTATGAGTCGGAATCGACTCGACGGCAACAAGTCTGGTCTGGTCAGCGTGTTAGAGACGCACTTAGTCACCCCATTTAGGGAAAAAAACAAGAAGATAAAGACGAGACTGCCTCCTTACTCAATAGATTCAACTGCTCAGTGTATCCGGGAGTTCTTACTTCTCCAGTACAAAAACAAATGGAGGACTACTTCTCTCTGGAAAATAATCAATACATGTGGCACATCAGCTTGCAAATGGGTAAGAGTAACAATGGCCACGAGGGAGAAAGAATATCAATGGTTGTACATCATAATTTTTCCCAGTAAGTTGATTGACCACTTTAAGCAAAACCAGAACTTTCTAATGAAAAATAGTGCACTAAAAGAGTTCTAAAACACCTGACCCTAGACGGATACTCTCTCTTCTGAACAACATGTGTCTGTCATTTACTTACAATGGCTCAAATTCTCAGGAGGTCTAAAGGATGAACTTGACATACCTGTATACCTGTCTCTTAATACTAAAATCCAGTATCTAGCCTCTGCTGTGGCAAAGAGTGATGAGATGGATACATTTTTAAGCATTTAGGCAAATTCATCCCATCATGCTAAGAAGCAGGTAGCATTTTCTGTGCACTTGTGGGTAAAAATACAGATCTGTGTGGTAACAGCTTTATAATTACAGAAATATCTAGTTGAATAACAGAAAAGCCTGTCTTTCTAAACCACTTGGTTCTCTTTGACTTCTGGCTTCACACAGCCAATATAATGAAGAGTTACCCATTACAACAGCCCTTGTCTGTTATTGGTAGTAATTTTTTGTTCTTAAACAGAAAACAGCCTTCTCAAAATTGTGTGACCGATACAATGGACTGTTGGTTTTCTTAGTCAAAATTACACACATATTACATATATATGAATACGTTCATATATATAAGGGTATACATTGGTGCCTATGAGTTATATATAGTAACATATTTATATAAACATAAACATTTCTGTAATGTTCATTGTTAAGAGTGATTGCTATCTGAAAGGAAATGAGATTGGATACGTGTGGACAGAGATGACGAGGTACAGGGCACTTACTTTTTATAAGCATTTGTCCATGTAATATTTTGTAATTAAATAAAAAGTGATGTAACTTGTTGAGATTCAGTCAAGTGAAGATTGAAACCTTTGTTCTAGCAGTGTATATTTTTGTTTTTCATACATAAGGCATGAGGTTTTAAAAACTACATCTTGATTCATTCTTAAAAAATTACGTTATGTCTTCAATAGATTATTAACAGAACTTTGCATATTTCTGCCAGAAATTTAGACTTAGGGCATTTAATGAAATTACACATCAAAAATATTGATGTAAAGCATACATATTTTGTATTTGCTAGATGGATGGGTCTTTTCACAGAGCACCAGGAGTGTTTTTATTACCTGTATTGGATTTCTACATTTTTGATGCATCATAGGTCTATCAATGCTGGCCTGTAGCAGTGTAGTTGGGTACTCTGTCCACCAGCTAGTGTTCTATTGGGAATGAGAAGCTAATTATGGGAAGCTAGTGGAATGCAGGAAGCAAGAGTGTGCTGAAAAGTGAGCTTGTCTTGAAGGTAAAACAAAACTGGTCAAAGCCAGGTTGGTCTAGAAGTACTGTCAAAACCAAGTGAAGTGGAATATGATAGGACCTAACCTCATGGGAATTTGGACTGTCAGCAACCAAGCAGACAGCTTGCCTTAGCTAGCCTGAATCTGTAGTACTATACTTCTCTTTGGACATCAGTGTCTTAGGTATTCAGGAGGATGAAGGGTGGACTATGACATCACAAAGAGGGAGGCTTCCTGGCTACTCTTTTTACTTACTTTTGCAGCCTTAGCCCATCTCATCAGTACATCGGGACAGCCAGCCACTTTCTTCCTGAAGTTTGATATCAAAATTGTGAATGTTCCCAGATATCAAAACTTGGAGATAAGTCCCTTATCTAAAAGGTGAAATACACAAGGCCTATGCAATGGCTACAATCAAATGCCCCTCAAAATTTGCTATTCGTTGTTACCCTTCTTGGGTTCATCCCTTCCTCCCATACTGTGTCAAGCAATCACTTCAATATGATCCCTTCATATAATAATGAAATCCTAATATCACACCAATAGAATCCCTGGGTGGTACAAACAGTTAAGCACTTGACTAGTAGCCAAAAGGTTGGTAGTTTGAATCTACCCAGAGGTGACTCAGGAGACAGGCCTGGTGATCTGCGTCTGAAAGGTTACAGTCTTGAAAACCCTATGGAGCAGTTCTACCCTGCACACACATAGGATTGTTATGAGTCGGAATCCACTGGAACACATATTCCAGTGGGAAGAATCAGGAAAGCAGCAAGTATGCAAATGAATCAACTAGCAAGTACTGTGAAGAAAGTGAAACAAGGTAACAGGATGAAGAATGATTGTGAAGAGATGTAGCTGCTTTGTATAGGGTGATCAGGAAGGACCTCCTTGAGCATATGGCATTTAACTGAGACCTAATGGATGAAAAGGAGCCAGGCTGTGAAAATCCAAGAAAGATAAAAGCTTGGCTTATTTGTGACAGAGAAGACTGGTGTGTGTAGTGAACAAGAGTGGCAGCGGAATGATGACTTACTAAAATGCTTTATCTTAAATTGACCTTGGAAATCCTTAAGTACTCTTATAAAATACCTCCATTTTTCAGGGGTGCTTTACTTGAGTTACTGTTTTCTTTGATTGGACTTTGACAGTTCACAAGTGCACGCACATGTGCGTGCATGCTAGTTGTTTTTCTTTGCTGAATGTTATCGTAAGTGATCATTACTCTAAAAGTAAGATTTCAGTTGTGTGTCTGTTCTAAGGTAAAATAAGTGTTAATGTGAAGACCAGACATTATAACTGAATTTCAGGATATTTTGTTTGCCATGCCGAGTTTAAAGCAATTGCTTTCTGCTGTTTTACATCATCAAGCCAAGATCCAATAACTGTAGGGATCTTGTAAATCATCGAGATTATCTTTTATCACATTATTATAAGCCAGAAAAAAGAACTTAATTTAAAATTTTTGCATAACTACATCATGATAATGGACTTCTGTACTCGAACCAAGGAAAGATATTCTTAATGTTTGTATTGTCTAGAGCCTAGTTATTTATAATATTTTGTAATTCTGCCTGCTAGATTATGTTACAGCTTTATGTTAGTTGCTGAAATAACTTCACTCCTAACCCCTAGTCCACAACCTCAGTTAACATCTTGGTATTTATGTCACTGATGGTAAAAATGGGGATTTATGTAACATTTTTATTTTGTTGATTTATGACTGTTCTATCAGTCAACTCCTTTGACTCATTCTTTTCTCAACTTTAATCAGATAAAGAAATGAAGTTTAAAACATTTCAATGACTTGCTTGTAATTGCAGCACATAATGTGTCAGGATAACACGCTCAGCCTCCTGAGGTAGCATGCTCAGCCTCCTGATTTCCTATTCACCCATACGTTTATTCTCTGAACTGTTTAGTGCCCCAGATATAACCACAATATAATCATCATCTTTCAAGCATAAAATAAGAGATATTATTTTATGAGATAATACGTGGTGGTGGACAGCAAAGGCTTTGGATAGGGAAAATCTGAATTTAAACCCTGATTGTCCATTTTTAACGACGACCCTGCCAAGCTATGTAACTTTTTCTTAGCTAGACTGTTTCATCATCGGTATAATGAAGATAATAATGTTTATATTTTAGGACTTTGAAAGTATTAAGTGAAATAAAGAGTACTGAATACATAATTTCTTTTTAAGAGACTAAATTGCTCTTTCAAAAATTTTGGCTTAAAAGGGAAGGTAAGAAAGTTAACAAATCAACAGTTCCCAGTAATTTTTTTTTCTACTATGTTTTGTAGTTGCTAAGACTTACTATTTTTTTCTTTCATTTTAGCATCTGATATTAGAATGCATGTTAGAAACCATATTCTCATAATTTAAATTATCAGAGGTTTTTTTCTTTTCTTTCTTAGTAGTACATAAAATAATGATATGTCTTATAATTGACATTTTAGATTTGCTGAAATAAAAGTTAATAATATGTAGCAACATTTTTTTCTTCAGAAAGCAATAACATGTAGTGTTCAGTTGTGAATACATTATGCCAAATTTCTGAACCTCTGTTTGCCTCAATCCTCTTATCTGCAAATCTCTTATCTCTAATCCCATGACATTGTTAGGATTAAATTAGAAAATATGTATACATTTCTTAGTAAAGTGTTTAGCACAGAATTGTTAAATGCAGTGTAATGATAGCCATGATTGTTACTATTATCTTTATTATTCTAGTTAATCTGCGAGTTAGGAGACCTTGATACTAGAGCCAGGTCTGCCACTAATAAACTTCAGAATTTTGAGCACAGTACTTGGCTTCTGTCTCAGTTTCCTGTTCTGTAAAAAGAATGTTCCTTCTGGCTCTAAAATTTTATGATTTTATTATTGAATTCAAAGTTTTAACACAATGTAACCATAAAATGAATTTTATTTGTTTCTTTCAGTTTGTGGGGACATCCATGGACAGTTCTTTGACTTGATGAAGCTCTTTGAAGTGGGGGGATCTCCTGCCAACACTCGCTACCTCTTCCTAGGGGACTATGTTGACAGAGGGTACTTCAGTATCGAAGTAAGTCCTCATCGTTTCTTCTTAGCTGCTCAGTTGTGGATCAACAATATCTTAGTAAAATAAAGAGTGATTAATCTTATCATCTTAAGGAAATCTCTATATTATAATGAACTTAAATACACTTAATTCATGGGATATTATGTGTTTTATTTTCCCTTGATTCCCATTGTTTTTTAGTGCACGGGGATGCCAAAGAAATGGCTAATAGTAAGCTTTATGTTTTTATACATTTTACATGTTTCAAGTTTGCAAAAATTGCATCTTATTTTATATTAGATAATTTTTTTTCCTATTGCCTTTTGAAAGAACTAGTCAAAGTTGATATATTCAGCAGGAATATGTATGTTTTTGGCTTATAATTATGAGACAATACACCTTGTAAATTTATAGCAAATTGCATGTGTGTGTTGTGTATGTGTGTGTGCACTTACAGCTGCTATATTTTGTCTTTTCTGGCATGTGTACTACAACTTGATTAATTTGTCAAACTCACTAATTAAAACAAAACAGATAACATTTGGGTAGAGGTTCTTCTCCACCTCCCACCTGTGTTTGCTTTAGATAAGTAGAAATTACATCTGAAATAAAGGCAAGGACCTTGTTTTATTCCTACGTTTGTTCTCTCTGGTGCCACGCATAGTGTCTCATGCATGTTAGGCTCTCATTAAATATTTATTGAAAGAAATGGTTTGAAATGAGAATACGTTTTAAAGAATCAGAGTTCATGCTATAATAGCTGACATTATGTGTGCTGTCAAAGCTATAGAAAGGAGAAGAATTGTTCTTAAAAATAGAAGTTAATTTTATCAACTTCACACACCAACATCACGTATTCATAAAAATCATAAAATGAAAGATTTTATATTTTTTAATTTACATCATAATATTTTATTGACTATAGGAATATGTAATGTCGAGAAACATGTCACCCTTAAGCATTTGTTTTTAAAATTATCATACCAGTTTTAGTTTGGGCTATTCATTCTAATTATTGAAAAATATATATAATATTAAATATTTCTACCAATATGTTAATAATTTCTACATTTAAGGATCATAAATTTCTTAATTATTCATGAAGAGGAGGAGTAGGGGTGGTGGTGGGGTATAAATCCAAAAGAGAAGAGTAAATTTTTGGTGTTTCTTAAATTTGGTGAACAAATAGCATTGCACATGTATTAGTATATATATGTACTGCGATTGGGACTGTGGAGAATATGAAGAAATATAACATACATCCTTGCTCTCTGGAAGTCTAAGTCTCTGTAGGAAAGCATAACCATGAAAGGCTATGTATAATCAGTAGTGTAGCATAAGGGGTCATCCAGGGTTCAATTATTTGAATTGATTATTTAAATCTTGTGATAAGTGATAGAAAATAAGTGTCATTGAAATATAGAAAAGTGAGAGGATTCTGAGGATACATGTGTTTTGGGAAGAGCAAATCAAAGAATAAGTAAGATTTAGCTAGGAGGGAATCTGACGGAGCCAAATTACAGAGAATATAATTAGTAAACCTCATTTATGGGCTAAATTGACCAGCTTGACTGGTAGGGAAAGATGATTGAGTATAATTTTTTTTTTTTTGTGGTAAATGATCTTCCTCCCTCCCTCCCTTCTTTCCTTCCTTTTACTGTGATAAATATATAAGTAACAAAATATTTGCCATTTCAGCAATCTTCACATGTATAGTTCAGTGACATTAATATATTAATCATGTTGTACAACATCACCATTCCCGAATTTTTCCATCACCCTTAACAGAAGCTCAGTGTCCCATATATAAGAGCGTTGTATCAATTAGTACTGGCATCTACCAGGAGTAACAAACAAAAAACCTTACTTAATGAAGGTTTGAAACAGAGCTTCAAATCGGTTGGAACGAGTTCAGTCATAGCAAACAAAGCAAAACTGGAACAGACCCGAATATTTAAAATTTAGGTGAATCAGAACAGTAACTGGAATGGGAAAAATTATGTGTTGAATCCCTGGAAAGGGAGACTTGGAAGAGGTGTAGTGAACCCTTTCAGGAGCCTGATACGTGAGACTGGATTATTGGCGGGACTGGAGAGTGACACATATTCAGAGTGGCATGGCCAGCCACCATCTTTGAATGGGAGACAGCTGTTTCTGCCTCTGCTGAAAATCCGTCGGGCAAGAGATTTGGTTGCTAGGCAACACAGGTGCTGCCGTTGCTTTCTAAGAGGGAGGTTAAGTTTCTACCAGAACTTTAGTCCGTAATTTTTCCCATTCCAGTTATTGTTCCGGTTCACACAAATTTAGAAAATTCACATCTGTTCCAGTTTTGCTTCCTCGGCCATGACTGAACTGGGAAGAAGTGGTTTGAAGTCATTGTTTGAACAAGAGAAATTTATTTTTCTCTCAGAAAAAAGTCCACAGATAGGCAAACCAGGGTTGGTGTGACCCAGCGTGATGTTGGGGCCCAGGCTCCTTCTGCCTGTTGCTCTGATGTGCATGGCCACATTCCAAAAGCAACTTTGTGGTCTTAGACGGCTACACCAGCTTCAGCCATTTATGTACCCACATTACATTAAGCAAGAAGGACAAAAGGGAAAGAGAGGGGCATATCCTCTCATTTAAGGATATTTCCTAGAAGTTGTACAGTTACTTCACTTGCATCCCATGGAACAGATTGTGTTCATATGGCCATAGGTGATTCCAGCGCACAGCAGGTTTGAGAAAGACGGTGGGAGACAGAAAAAAACAGTGGAAGGTAGAGGCTTTCTGCTACTTCCCTTGAATTATGGGTATGTAGAATTTAAGAAGTATTTAAAAATTATTTTAGTAGCTCTTACATTTAACTTATTCATTACTGTCCATAGTGCTCCTATGCAAAGTTCTGAGAGGATAAATAAAATAGGAGTTTTACTGTCCATGAAGCTCACCTTCTAAGCGAGGAAAGTATGTGAATTATCCTGTCGGGAATGATTGTTTTCATCAGTCAAATGATGGAGTTCTGTGTTAGAAATTTTTTGTTTTAATAAAATATGTTATAACGTGTGGTTTTAACTTAGTTTGCATCTTTATTTATAATCAAAGGCAAAAACATTATTTCTTATTTGGTAATAAAGGTAAAGCACTAAATCATGTGTTGCTTGAGTAGCAATTGACACAGCTGATTTTTTTCTGTTCTATCTTACCAGCTACATCTTTGGATAATATTATTCTTTAGTCTTATCAGTCTTTATTTACCTCTGATGTTTTTACTCAAAGCATGCAGGCTTCTGCAGCTCTGGCCTCAAACCACTTGACATTTCCCAAATGCTCCCTAATTAGATCTTTTTAGAGCTCTGTTTCTTAAAGAAGTTGAGAATCAGTAATCACTAACTTGTTCCATGGTGGATTTTTTTGGTCTGCAATTAATTTGTGTACTTGAATCATGGAAATTGTGATATTTTGTGTAGTAGTGTGAGCATTTTCAAAATAAAGCAAAGAATCAAACTGGATGTTGGTGATGTATCAAAAATAGGTATCATAAGGCATTTAAAAATTCTGAGCTGTATATATCAGAGTCCCATCTTCACAAACAGCTCTTTAATTAGACTAGAGTTGGAGTATAGCCCAGGGCCCTAACCACACTTGTTCATGAAGAAATGACAAAATTTGATGGCCTCATATGTAAAAATGATCCATTTTGATTAGACCCTGATCTTTGAGAGGCTTTGGGCGACTCAGTGATATTATCATCACATTTAAAATAGAACACACATTTATATAAAAGACACTTACTGAGAATACTCCAGGGTTTTTATTAGTGATTAAGAAAGCTATCATTGTTTGCATGCTATAAATGGTATTATTCGCATTATGTAAATAATCTTATTTATTCCTCAGAACTCTACCAGGAACTTGTAAATGTCCTCATTTAATGGGTATGGAAACTGAGTCTTGGAGAGCATCACACATATAGTAAACGGCAGTGCTGTGATTCAAAGTCAGTGCTCTTTCCATTACCCTATGTCCCAACTGTGTATTCATTAACTGTACCACATAAAATGAACACATCAGTAATGCAGAAACTGAGACACACATTGACATTCACATACCCACATGCAAACACATACGCACAACCCTCTCCCCCACCTATATAATCCAAAGGTCAAAACATTAAATATAAAATATTCTTTTGTGAGTATGATACTGTTGGTTTAAAAAAAATCCCCAAATAAGAGCTCAGTTTCCCAGCATGTGGTATTCTAACAGGCTTCAAAAGGGTTTTGATTCATCTCAATAATTCAGGGCTCCACTGCAGGTATTCTCCTTTGGCTATCCTTAGGGAAAAGAAGAGCAGTTAAGTTTAATTTTTACTAAATTAGCTTTGAAAAATACATTCGAATTCCATAAGTCTATGCTGATCAGTGTTTATAGGCACTAGGTAATGTGCTCGGAGTCCCTGGGTGGTGTAAATGGTTAATGCGTTCGGCTGCTACCTGAAAGGCTGGCAGTTCGAATCCACCCAGAGATGCCTCAGAAGAAAGGCCTGGCAATCTACTTCTGAGAAACCAGCCATTGAAAACCCTATAGAGCGCAGTTCTACTCTGATGCACATGGGATCGCCACAAGTTCGGATCGACTTGACGGCAACAGGTGACAAGGTAGTATGCTCTGGGCAGTTCCTAGAGCTCATTTTATACACTCTTTCCCCCCTAATATTCTCTTTTTGTCAAGATTAGAAATCATTTCCTGCAATGTTAGCTCAAATAAAACAAGTTTTTGAGTAGTGATAAAAGAGGCAAATTCGTTTTGAGTAGTAAATTGTCTCACACCAAATACCATCCTCTTTTCTATGAGTGCGTAATGCCATCTAACCTCTTTGATCAAGCATGTGTACGTATAGGTCCATTTCTGAATTGTCTCTCTGAGAACAGAAGGAAAAACTCAAACTTGCAAACAGAGGCAGGTACAGCTGTTTACTTCTGTTCACATCCTCAAACTGGCTTTCTAGCCATTCTGCACTGCATTGCTTGGGCCCT